TAATAATAATAATAATAATAATAATAATAATAATAATAATAATAATAATAATAATAATAATAATAATCTCAATAATAAGAAAAGTATTACATTTAAATTAACTGGGTGTCTGGAATTTCTGAAAATTTCGTTTTTGCAAAGCAAGTCAGAGAAAGTGCTTTGATTCAGGCTGCCAATATGGCCAGAAATAATGTTACTTAACTTTATTAATTACATTCAGTCAGAAAGTTGGACTGCTTAGTTTGAAATGCTAAAGACTTCACCTGCATGGAGCACAGACAGAAAAGCTTTCCTGCCTAGTTTTGCCAGTACTTAAATATCCTTACTTTAAAATCATTAATATTTGTGAAACCACATATTTATATGTCCTGAGTAATCTGAACATAGAATTGTATAAAATCAAATTACATTGAATATACATGAAATATGAGGAATTTCTTCTAGCATTAGTTTGTTTAGAAATAAGCCAATTTGAGTTAAATGGCACTGCTAGGTAAGTGTTATAGAATTACAGCCTAAATGGTCTTCATCAGATACTTTGTTTGATATTTTGTTTGATCCAATCAAACAGTCCAAATAGAATAATGAATTCACACAATGATTTCTAATGCATATTATTTCCTCACCTAATGGCTATTTTCTAAATGCTAATTATAGGAAGTTCATTCCACTTCTACATTTTTTTCCACTTCGTTTTTTTATATAGTAGAGGGCTCAGCTGACAGAATAGGGAAAGTATTCTATACAGACCTCCCTTCTCTTTCATCCTTTAAGAAACTAAAGGATGGGGAGATTATGAATTGCTGAAAATATAGCTAAATAGTGATTTACTTGCTTGACAGAAAGTTCTCTTTAATTCAGTAGGACTTAATTCTGAATAAACAGATCAATAAATGATATATTTTTCTGTTCATAGTATAAAAGCAGTTAAATTAATAAATAACTAAATGCACTAATGCATTTTTCTAATGCATGCTATAAAACGTTGAACAGTATTTAAATACATTATTACTATTGACAAGAATATTGCTTCATTAGAACACTGATGCATTAATAAAAAGTTTAAAAAAAGACCTACCTTGCAAATTTGTCAAGTCCCTTAAAAATGCTCCAGCTAAGAAAATTATTTCCACCTTGATAATTTATAAAAGATTGAGTTCATAAAATTAACAGTAAGTATTTTTAAAGGGGTTAAAAATCACTTCAGATGTCTTTTTCTTCCTGGCACCCTGGGTAATACTTGAATAAACTCCTTCTGTAGATTTGTCTATCTGAGCACTGAAGAATAACACTAAGAAAACTTGTTACTGCTCATGTGTTTTTCATCACTGCCTGTATCTGAGCCAAAACTTCTAGCTAACTCTAGACGTCTAAGCACAAGATGTGGTTAAATTTGAACCTTAATAATGGATGGCAGAAAGCCAGTGCAAACCCTGGATGGTTTACTGAAGTCTGTTGTACAAGTACACACCTTGTGAAACAAAATATAGCATACATTTTCTTGTATAGCATTTTGAAATATTCTGTCTAGCCAAAGCAATCTAACAGCTTAATCCTAACAGTGATACTGCTTAAGTGACTAGTTAGTGGCAATTCCTAGTTGACCTTGGATGATCCCTAAAAGCTAAGCAGGATCAGATGTAGTTAGTACTTGGAGGGCAACCACCAGCTAATCCAAGGCTGTAGAAGCTGAGAAACAATCCAAGAAGGCAGTGAGGAATTGTTCTCTGAAAATATATTGAAACACTTTAGTCCAGGTAGAGATGTTCAAGAATGTTCATCTGTCTAAAAAATACAATATGTTTTTTTTGAGTAACTGCAGATCAGATAGTTATCCTTCATCTTTTTATTCCGGATTTCGTAATGCACAATTAAATAAAGGACTGGTAAATTAAAATATGTATCTTAGAATGGATTAAAATATTGTACTTGGGAAATTATCCATTAAATTAGTAAAACTGAGAAGAAATATCTAAAATATGTTTTTAAATAACTTTAATCCAGATTTTTAAATTTCACAGATGAAGCAGGGTTCAAGAGACTTATGAAGAAAGAACATCACAGTAAAATCTATGTTTGCTTCTATAAAATTAAGTTAGAATAATTTAGAGATTAACTCTCTCTCAAGTCATGTTTACATCGTGATAATTTTCTAGGTACTCTTTTGCAAGAATATGGAAATAAATTGCCATTATCCTCTTTTAAGATACCTTTTCAACTTCTTAATCTAATTTGTACTCTGTTATTTCTGGTTTATCTCCTTTGTAAGTATCAACCAGCTTACAACTACAAGAATCTTGATTCTAAAGATATGCAATTTAAGATAAATGTAATTTTTCTAATGTCAGAACATCAATACTAGATTAAAATATATGCTTTAGAAAATTTGGGAAGACCTATTAAATACACGTGTCTTGATTTATCAAACTGATTTTTTTATGAAATGAACTGCTTTTTGAGGGATCTGTAATGTAAACAATCTATATGTCAAAGCTGCCTTCAAGCAAATAAGGAACCTGAAGAGCCAGTGCTCAGCCCTGCCTTCATCAATAGCATTAAGCCAACTTGTCTTTGTACAAAAATAGCAATAGCTTTTGCAATTATAGGTAAGAAGCTCTTTAGTATTTTCATTCCTTTTCTTTAAACCCTCAAATTATATTAGCATTCCATTTATTAAGGCATGCTTCTGTGTAAACACTCTACAAAACATTGTTTCAATTGTTTGTAAATTTATTATAATTTGAAAGCCAATAGAAAGAGGCCAAAAGCTTTAATACATGCCATAGTCTCTTAGCATTTGCTTTGGCTTTAGTTCAGCCTAGTTTCTTTTATTCAATGGGACATTGTTATGTTGCATAGTTATGGAGTATTAATTTCAGTTCTGTTTTTTTTTAATCTTTCACTATTTGTAATGTATTTTGTTTCTCTTGTTCACAAGGTTTTAGGTCAGGCTTGTCCAACCCGTGGCCCAGGGGCCGCATGCGGCCCAGGTCGCCTCGTAATGCGGCCCAGTGCCCACCCCAACCTTCATGCCAGAGCCAGCAAGGAGGAGGAGGAGAGGCAGGTGCAGGGCGAGCGCCAGGCCAAGCAGCAACAGAAAAGGCGGGCGCCATCAGAGCGCCACCTCCTGCTGTTGCTGCCGCCGCCCCCGCCACCGCTTCTGCCCCCGCTGCCACTTCTGCCCCTGCCACCGCTTCTGCCCCCACCAACGCTGCTGCTTCTTCCCCCGCCAGCGCTGCTGCTTCTGCTCCCGCTGCCACTTCTACTGCCGCTGCCCCCGCCCCCGCTGCTTCTTCCCCCGCCACTGCCGCTGCTTCTGCCCCCGCCGCCACTGCTGCTTCTGCCTTCCAGTCCTGCCTCATCTAGCCGGGCCATTTGCAGGAGGAGAGGTAGGCGCGAGGCGGGCGAGCTTCCCCCCCCCCGCAAAATTTGGCTGGAAAATAAACCGTGATAAAAAAACCATGATAATAAAACCATGATAAAAAATAAATAATTTTTAATAAATAATAAAAACATCTCACTAACTTCATTTCCAAATAAATTTAATGTTAACTATGTTTTCTATGGTTTTTTTGGATGATCAGGTATCATTACTGTTATTTTATTTTATGTGCGGCCCAAACCAAATTTTCATCTTCTAATGTGGCCCAGGGAAGGTGAAAGGTTGGACACCCCTGTTTTAGGTCCAGGCTAACAACTTCAATAATATGTTTGCAAATAAAGAGGACTCAAACTAATGTTCTTTACACATGTGCAAAAACCTATGTCTCATTTTGTGCATATGTAATAGGCAGAACACTCCAAAAATCTTCCAAACCACACACACAAAAATGAACTGAGGATATGCAGAATCCTTTTCATGAATAACAAGATATGATCTGTATATGCCAATAACAGACACAAAAAAACATGGGTAATTAAACTAGATCAGGATGGCACACTGGTCTTTGATATACTGACTCTTAATACAAAACATTAGTTGTCAGCTTTAAAGAAAAGCTTCCTGTGGATTAAACATTAAAAAAACCAAATGTTCATCTAATTCAGTAGCTAATTTATGGCAGCAACAAGTCAGTTGCTTCCAAGAAGCCCACAATGTTTAATACTTCTAAAAAGCCATCAAAAATTCAATTTGATTTGTATAGTAATGAAAATTATACAGCCCATATAAGTGTACTACAGTTCTATGAATATACTGACTACATTTTGCGGATAAACTTATGCTTGGGAATATTCCCCATCACTTGTCTGAACTATAATTTTTAGTTTTTTAACAAGTTCAGGGAAAATTTATGTAATTTCAGATGGAATGCTTTGACTTATTATGGCATACTGCTTTAATAAATAGTTGTTAGTGGTTTTTGGAAAAGTTGAAGCTTTCCATAGAATGTCACTAGCGTTGCTAGCATGCGTTTTAGAATATAAAGCTTCTTTTAACTGTTGAAAAAAATATGTCACTCTTGTAAATAAGGGAATGAAAATAATTGAGTTGCATAGCTTCCCAATGAGAAAACATTTCCTCTATTGCCACCTTCCCATAATCTTAGGGAAGGTGGTCCAACATTGTTGTCCAATATTTAGTACATGAGAATCTCTCTCACGCAGTCTCAGATAAATTCTATGTTTAAACCCATTTCCTACTTAATTTCTTACAACCTATCTTAATCTAGCACCTTCCCATTACTATAAGCTTACTCCAAATACTCCATGTCTGTATTCTAATCTCTCTGTTCTTTAGCTCTACATTTTTCTATAAAGAGTATTTCCTAACCCTTTGAGTGGGGAATCTTCATGTCTTGTAGCCAAACTCTAACTATTTACACTTGAAAATCCCTTTCATGCTTTCGCTGTTGATTTGCATATGAGGCTTTTCTCTCCTCGCCAGCATTCACAATCTTCTCTTCCTGGAGCTGGTTTTGTAAGGCTTGGACTGCTGCACAGAATGGCTTTGCTCCAGTCACTTCTTTGCAGGCGTTAGTTGGGCTCTTTCCCTTGAACTTTCGGCTCTGTCTCTCAGTGGGTTTTAGAGCGCCAAGGCTTTTATCATTCTGGACTGCTGCTGAGTTACTTGCCTTTGAACAGAAAACTTTTCCCTGCCTCTCTGTAGTTTTCCTGGTTCAACTCCCCCTCTGCTGTACCCACACATATGCTGGATTTCTGGTCCATTTAAGAGGCCATCCCTCTAATTAAGGAGAAGGCAGGGCTCTTTTATCCCCCTTTCCCTTTCTGGATTCCAGAAGGGAAGGAGAAATGCCTGCTCAATCTGGGAAGTTCCACATCCTTTCCTCTTTTAAAAGATGAAATCCTTTCTTTAAATTCCTGCCAGATCAGTTCACTAAACATTTCTATATCATATCCCTGACGAGATAAAGAATGATTTATATCCTTGCTCTCTGTTGTACGGTGAATAGGTAGGTTCGCAAAGACATATAATTGTCATTGAAGGATTACTTTTTTTCGTCCACTGTATCTAGGCAATGGGTTGGTTATCCATTATGATTTTAAACTCTCAGTCTCACAATTATACTTTAAGCATCAAGACCATCTCTTTCTTTTCAATGGTGCTGTAGTTAGCTTCTTCTAAGAATAGTTTCTTGGCTAAATATACCACTGCATTATTTCCATGAGGATTATTTCCAATTTCCCCATGAGTTCTATGTCACAAGCATAATTTATTGATGGAAGCCTTTTCGTACGCTGGCCCTCTTAGGATAAGCCCTTGGACAAAGCTTCTGTCAAGTGACATTCTGATGTCAACTTCACTATTTATTTATTTGATTTATATAGCCATGCATTTCACATATGTGACTCTAGGCAGTTTACAGTAAGTTAGATAAAATAAATTTAATATGTAATATAATATACATAATATAACCAATAACCAATATTGTTTGTTTTATCTCCTCGATGAGAAAATTAACTTCCTTCTTTGTTTTTGGAGCCTTGACATCTTTCAGAACTAATGTTGTCTTTTTACCTAATTTCATATCTTTCCCACCAGAAAATCTAAATATGTGATTTCTTCATAGCCTTCTTTGTTGAATATATTGCTAGGAAAGCCTTCAGGAGACTTGTAATTGTTCCCAAATGCTTAGATATTCTTCCCAGGTTTGCCTATAAATACCATATTGATGTTATATAAGGAAGCCTCACATTACTTTACTCTGCCTATAAAAGGTATTTACAAGTTCACTTAAATGTAGAGTTACGAGAGAAAGTAGCCTTTGGTACATCCACCTAATCATATAGCAAGTTGAGAATATATGTAGCTTTG